CCAAGGAGTCTGCCAGAGTTACAGTACTTACACTTTTCTTCAGGTATTCCTTTCTATCTTGCACATTGCAGTTTTATTTTAACAGCTATGTTCTTATTCTGTCATCAGGGAAAATAAATTTTTTAAAAAAAAGCAAACAGGGAAAAAAAGCCTTCACTATTAATTATTCTCTATGTCTTTGACCTAACCTGACTCCTACCAAGGGTAACCATCATGATGTGAGAAGGGAAAAGGCACATCAATTAACAGACAAGTTAAATAGGGGCAAGCTGCTATTTGCTCTGTTGCAGTTTAATAAGCCTGAAGGTAGAAGGTGGAAGACAGTGTGTTGCTTTTCCACCATTTTCCTGCTGCTGAAAATGGAAAATATCAAAGAATCAAATCACAAAAAAAACATGTAGGAATCGGTTGTGCTGGGAATTGAGGCAGGGAGTAAAAGACTGATTCTGTAGAAAAGGAATAAACCGGACTTTTATCTTCTGAGTAGAGTGGCAGTAAGTTTTATGCATTCCAACTGGAGTAGAGCGTTTGAATGGAAAGAAGCAGTGGAGGATGCTGAGGCAGAATGAGAAGGGGCCGAAAGCTGGCATACTGAATGGTGAAGTGAAATTCTTTGCAAAAATAGTTCTCTTTTAGATGTAGTAACTTTGAATTAAAAGATCTTATAAATTCCTTCCTGATGAGATAACATGGCAATGGTTGTAGTGTACAGATGGTGCAGTTTATTTACTAACTGTATTTTTTACGTCAGTTGGCAGTAACATTTTATAGTACCTAAATATGCATCTTCAGTGCCTCTCTCTAGGCATCTGTGCTGGAAAATTCAGGCCATGGTTGCTTTGAACTGCTTCAACTGCTATTTTCTTTAAAACCTTATAGTATGGCTGTTAAAATAAGTACCCTCTAGCAAAATCAAGAGGGACTGTGTTACCCTAATTTTTATTACTGTTTAGTTGGAAGGGGACGGATTTGAAGCATTCAGTGAAATCAGATGAAAGTTTGAAATAAAAATATCAAAATAATGAAAATAATATGAATTTTGAGAAAATACTTCCTCTTTCTGAGAAATTAATCGGTCCAGAGATCACAAACATAATAAAAGGACAGCTGTCACATCCGGCTTTCTCAGGTACCCTGTTTGGTTTTAATTATTTTTTGTCCATTCTAGAATAAACAGCCTGCTACCTGGGGGCTGTCCTTTATGCTGAACGTTTGTATGTAATCTCACGCCAAAATATTTCGTGCCTCCTATTTTGCCACTTGGACATGTCTGTGCAGGACAGACTCTCATCTGTACAGACAATGCACAGAGTGGAGTTTGGCTCAGAGCACGTCTTGGCGATGTGCGCTGGATCATAATTCCACAGAGCAATGAATTGTAGGTGAGTTCCTCAGTGCAAGAACTAGGTGCTGTGTACCCATTCCGTGTTCCCTTTTGAACACTCTGCTGAATGGGGGCTTGGGTCTACGATGCAGCGAACAGACCCGCCGTGAGGTTGGGGACTTAGCCTTCATCAGCGTCATCTTCATCAAAAGAAGTTTAATCTTTTAAAGCAACGCTGGCAAAAATAACACAATAACTGCAAGGGGAGGTGCTGCAGCTGTGATGGGGTGCCTGCCCTGTCTTGGCTTTGAACTGCGTTGGGATGCATGCTTTTGTGCCTTAAACATTTGTGTAAGTGTTTAAGGTTTCTTCCAGGTCCTTTCTGATACCCTGTGAAAGGACTCTTGGTGGATGAGGGACCGAGGGGACAGCAGTCATCTGTCAGGGAGAGCTGCAGCTGCTGGCAATTTTTGTCACTATGGTTTTGTCACTCTCGGGTGTTTGAGACTTTGACATACTCTTCCTTCTTCATACAACACCCATAATCCTCCCTCTTTTTTGTTGTTGTGTGCTTTCCTCTTTCACTGGGGAAGTTGGGCATCTTCTACTTTCCACTAGCGAAAAATGGACATACAGTTTGTGTATGCAGTCAATTCACCACTTTAATTAGCAAAAAAGAAACCAGAATGCATTCATTTAAATCCTTAATTTTCTCAATTCCGAAACTTTGTATGTAGTTATTTTTAACCTGGTTTCCTAGGGAAAGATGTTCCTGCAATCATTTTTCACTAACCACCCACTGTTAATAACTTCAGAGCCTCTGTGTTGATCGCAGACTTGAGGTAGGGCAGAGATCTCAGTGTGACATCCGCAGCTTCACAAATGGGGGTAGAGGGAGAGGATCCAGTTCCCAGCCTGTTTGGGCTGCCAGGTGAGGTCAGCCCTTACTTCTGGCAATCAGAGGATGGGAGAGACTTCATGGAGACACCAACCATGGGGAAGGGGCTGTCAGCGGGGAGTGGGGCTCTGGTGGCCACCAGGAGTCTAAGCAGAAATTCCAGTCCAAGCAAAGGAGCCCTTCATTCGTCTGCCTTCAGTGCTGCTCCTCATGACTACTTCTTACCTCCTCCTCAGGAGAACACCTCCAAACTGCAAGTGTAAACACTGTGCAAGAATGAACTAGCCTTTCAGTTTGCCATCAGACATTGCTTCTGCACCACTCTGTGGTCTCCTCGACCCTTGTTTTCCTTGTGCACCCGGTCCCTCCTTTTTCCTTTCGCTCTGCAGGACAACCCAAAGCACGTTGTCCTGGATCCTACTGGCACCACCCTGGGTGCATGTCTCCAAGCCCTCTTACTTCTGCCAAGTCGTTATGGAATAGCTGTCTGATTTCTTCAAGAACGTATCAACAGAAAGAGATGGAGCCACCATAGCAGATGTGGATGGGCTTGGGTCATGGTTGTGCTTTGGAAAACGGCTGCTGGGGGTGCAGTTGTGTGTTGTAAACAGCTCGTGTTGGTGTTGTGAAGTCACTACAGAACTTAGTGGGCCAAAGGCTAAGACTGCACCTTTCAAGATAAACTGGTTGCATAATTTTTATCACAAAGCGCAGAGTTTGTTACACAAACACAACCCAAAGTCAGCAGGAAATGTGTTTTTTCTGGTTGCGTCCTTTTCTTCTTTCAACAGCAAAGTTAACATTATGCTACAGTGTTACCCAGTGGTGGAACCTTATTTAAAGGAAAACAAGAGAACAAAATTTAGGAACATCCAATGAACGAATGTTGGAGTTGGCTGTATGAATTGTGATGTATTAAATTCAACTTCTCTTCTAACAGTCTTCTGATTTTATGCTATGAAAGAGATGGGAGAATTCTGGTTTGGTTTGGTTTATTTCTCAGGCTTCTCTGCTTTTTATATTGCTTTTTAATGTTAGATAGATTGTCCCTCTTCGGTTTGACTCAAGGGAAGGTCTTGCTGTGTGGTGTGTGGACCGGGTCCTGCACCAGAGCTCAAATTGGGGAGTAAAGCTGTTTGGAAATGGCACTTTTGGCAGAGATGCTCACAGCAGGAAAACTGCTTCTGATGTGTCTTCAGATTTGAAGATGAACATAAGTTGGTAAAAGAGCTTTTCTGAGGAGTCTGCTGGTGACTTTAGGGAAAGGACACACTGACCTGTCCAGGAAACAGACAAGCAGCTGCTTTCCAGTGTGTGGGCACCTTCTATATAATTTAGTCTGCTGCTTCTTCAACTTTAGTTTTACACCTAGTACGCTGTTACTCGACTTACTGTTTCAGCAATTAAATAATAGAGTAGCCATTAGACGTGTGTTTCCAGCTATTCACAGAAAGTATATACTTAAACTAAGAAAAAATCCCTTTTTTTTTTCTTAACCGTTCAAGTGAGTTTCTATTTTGCTTAAGCAGATATTGAAAAACTCTCTGTGTCATTTGTGTTGTTAAAAAATTGCAGGGCTTTATACCACATTACATTACTGAAAATAGATTTGAAATATATAAAGGTGCAATATACATATATTTTTAAAAGCGATTAGCCAAAATAAAGTGCCATGAAGCTATTAGTAGTAAATTGAATTTTTTGGTATGTAATTTAGTATAAATACTGACAAGCTGAAAAAAAAAACCCAACAACCCTCAAACAACAAATGCATACTCATTAGTCATTCAGTTTAGCAGCACGGAGGCAGCAGCCGGGCAGGGCGTGCGTTTTTCTGTCTGCTTGGATTGCACACTTCATTTATTGGGCCATGGCAAAGGCGGCTCTCTCTGTCACACGGCAGCGCTGGGCGATTAGCAAGTTGTGCCCCGGGGCAGCTGGGACGCTTTGCTGGGGCAGATGTTCTTTTCAGCTTATTCAGTGGCCGTTGTGGGGTTGTTTACTGTTGTCATAGCTACCCACATTGCCATAGCAGCCGAGCTGCCTGTGTGTGAAGCAAGTGAATATAGTTATAAAAGGATCATATTTTGTTCTGTCTCTATAACTTACCATCTGTCAACTGACTGTTCGTGATGGATTCAGAAACCAATTTAAGAAGAGCAGCCAGCCAATGGGTTTTGCTTATACTAAAGTGACAGTGGGCGAGGACGTAAATAAGTTGGTGCTTCAATGAAATGCTAGTTTCTTTTTTTTTGTTTCTTTTTTTTTTCTTTTTTCTGCTTAATTGTAGCAGTTTGGCTTCCAACGCTTTTCTCAAACATTGCTGATACGGTATGGACAAGTCAAAATGACCCGGTGTCATCTTCTGCCCTGTACCTGCTGAGGTGTAGGTGTTCCTTACGCTTTCCCAGGCTGCTGTCAGCTCCCCCTGTGCCTTGCTTACCAATTGTGGTGTTGCACCTGCTTTCACAGACCCTTTGTAATGAAACCTAAATACTCTCCTCAGAATTAAACAGCAAATTGACAAGGCTATCAGCGAAGGTATCATGCACACACGAGTATGGTTCGGTAACCTTCATCGCCGCGCTGGTACCTAATAGTAGCAATGGGATCACGTGCAAGTTTGGGGATAAATTCAATGTGTGATCAACAAGCCCTCTGAATAATGAACTCTGATATCTTTTCACTGCAGAGATTTGGTTGAACCTATAGTTTAGCAACGGGGGCAAGAAGATTAGCCCAGTTGTAAATAATGTATTTATTGGTTGATTTTTCCAGATCCTGACATTGATGCTGCCACTGCCATGATGCTTTTGAATACTCCCCCTGAGATACAAGCAGGTTGTGAGTAGATATTTCTATAGCATATAGCAACATAGACGTGTAAAGTTAATATTCTCTTTTATAAGTATACAGCGTACCAGATAAAAAGGAAGAATTCGTGAAGAAATACAACTTCCCTTGTAGATCCTTACACTTCCTTGACCCTTACATGAGTATAATTTTGTGGTTCATGTTACATTCTTTGTTACATGAATAATAGTAATCCGCGATCTCTAATGCAAAAGAGGGGTTATTGTTATTCATGGCATACACATAATTGAGTAACATACCATTATCCGTACTGATAGAAAGACCTGGGGCAACAGCCAGGAGAGAGGCAGGGAGGGAAGGAGAGCAGGAGAGCGAAGGGTACGTGGCATATGGTTTTGTTTTCATTTTGTTTTGATTTGACTCCCATCGTGTGAGTTACCACAGCCATCTGGATACTTTCCATTCACTTGGGCACTGGTTCAACTCCTTCCTTGCACACATCCTGCCCGTTTTGTGCTCTCTCTGATGCAAGGCAGCGGGCAGGCTCCGGGGAGCAAGGAAAGGTCTCATTTCCTGCCAATACTGTCCTTGTTCTGTGACCAGACCCGAGGTTTTGATGCTGTGTATTCAGAGAGCACTGAGGGGGCTCCAGCCCCCACTGTACCCCACTGTGCAAATGCTGCAGGAATGCTCCTGCCCCACAGAGCTCGCAGTGCAGGTATTAGAGGGATCCGTAGAGGAATACAGCAGCACAGGAGCAGGGAGTGCAGGCAAACAAACATATCGCTGGTCAGCAAGCACGCCAGTAATGCCAAGTGACAGGCAGCTTTAAAAAATAAAAGCAGAAGTTAAAATAGAATCCATTATCAAGCCTGTCTAGCATCACCGCTATTGTTCTAGCTTGGGCAACCAAATTCAAATTCCAGGGGAAGCCTTGATTCACACTTTGATACTCTGCCTGGGGAAGAGAGTCAATTACCATCAAAGCATTTCCTGTGCAGCCGAGGACAGCAATTGTCAGCTGGCTGTGTGACCCTGCTGGAGAAATGCCTCTTGAGAAGCTCCTCATGGGGGAGAGTGCCACGTACCAAGAAGCTGTTCATTCTGGAAGGAGATGAGTGGTCCTTGTCCTCTTCTCCTCAACAGCCTTCAGGGACTGTGCACAGTAAAAGGGTGAGCAATCCCAGGTATGTGTAGGTAGGAAGAAGGAAAGATTTTATCAGGGAGAGAAGGTTATCGTTGGGCTTAGCGGGAAGAATAAAATGACAGATCTTCAAAGGTTCAGAAATTTAGAGAAGCCAGACTTGTGGGGCAGAGAAAGAGGGAAAAGAAGCTGGGGGAAAAGGAGAGTGCCAGGGTAAAAGGGTATGTGGGAAGAGGGAAGGAGACATAAAGAAGCATGTGTAGGAAAAGGATGGGGAAAATGCAGAATAATCTGAATTCCTGGAAGAAGTGGAAAGCAGGAGAAGCAGGAGAAGGTTGCAGACCAGAAAGGGAGGAGATCCATAGCAAGCTGTATATACTAAACTCACTGCGGGTTTTTGTCACATGCACATGTTTGCCAGCATTGCAGGTGTTTGTATGGAAGTGGTTTGGAGACTTGGGCACTGTCATTTCATAGAGATGGTGACTTGCAGGTTGGAAATGGCTTATTGCTATTTTAGTCTGTAGAGGTCCCTCTAAGGAAGGAAATTCTAGCCTTCCACAAGTTTGGCATCTCTCCCCCGATGTCACCTTCCCAGTGGGCTGTTGTGCCAGGATCTCAAAAGCCAGAGGGAGATGAAAGCAGAAAGGTGGCTCCTCATTCACATTCCTCCCTCCTTGATATCTGCAAGTAACGAGACCTTCCTCCCTGCCTTCAAACTGAAATGCAGGGTCTGCTCAGAAGTTTATGAATCCTTCCAAATGTTGGGTAGAATTGGCTGGTGCCAGGAGGAAAGGGCAGAAGTTTTTATTGTAACCTCAGAGGTCCTCTAAATTACAAAGGAGAAACATTTCTGTGTGTGTGTGTGTGTGAATGGATACCTGAGGAAGTAAATCAGCCTGTCCTATGAATTGCAGTTGGGTCTCGCTTATCTACCATGTTAGGAAAATCTTAAACTTAAAGCAAATTAACTCCTACTGCACATTAAGAAAAAAACTGCATGAAAAATCACATTTAAAATTAGTTTTCAAATAAAAGGCAATTGGGCTATAAAATTTTCATTGCGATGCTGAGCATCGTCTAGAAGCTGGCAGTTCATTCTCTGCTCTGTCGGTGACTGCAGTGGTCTGTAAATCAAGCTGTGAGTGATGGGGGCAGTGAGCTGCTGGGACTGTTTGATCCTGTGAAGATTTAAAGTTCTGTTCATCGCATCAGACTGTGGTGTCAAGCACACGCTCAACCCGTCAGGGCTGCAAAACGCCCCATGTTCTGAAGACAACATTTTAAGAAGGAGGGATGTAGTTTACAGTTTGGCCACAGGTGTTAATTCCTGACTGAAAACACTCTTTGGGTCCAAGAGTCTGACTCAAGATGTGCCAGTCCCACCACAAAGATGGTCAGATAGAGGCAGAACCCAAGAGTCAGGTTGTTATCCTGTGAAATGACAAGTCAGAAAGTTTAAAACTCCGGTCCATGAAGGCCTTTGGGTGTCCTACAGACATTTAACCATCACCGTGAAACGTGGCCACCACCAAAGTAGACTGTGGCAGAGTCTGTGGATTTCTGTTTGTGTGGATGGTTACATCTGTTGTCTTCTGATTTTGAAGGCATCTTTTTGGATGAAAAGCTATTTTTTGAGCAGGATAACAATCCAGGCTCACCTAGGCAGTGTGGGTGCTAAAAGCACCTGTAGCATGAAGTTAGCTACAGCCATCATTCAAAGTCTTATTAAAATTTATTCTTTTAATATAGTTTGTCAGAAAGGAATCCCATCTCAGCGGCATTAGTAAATCCAGAGTAAACTATTCCTGCTTTGTAACAGATTGATTAATTAGCTTTATGGTTTTAAATGAGCATTTAAAATTGCATACCCATGTGTGAAACTGCTAACAACCACACATGAAGTCTAAATTCAGCTTTTGCTTTTACATGAAATCTTGAAATGGTGTCTGAGCTGGCACAAATGTTGCTTCCCATTTACCCCAATCACACCATGCTTTAGGTTTTGTGCCAAAAATTATGGCAGAATAGAAAAGTAAAATACAGTTATTAGGATTATTTTCTGTTTTGGGGGATTTTACTTTATAGACTCATGAAACTGATTGTACACACTGTTACTTCAGGTTGGAAATAATGCAATTATAGTTGGGGTGTTGACATTCAGAAGTCAGTTTCGAAAATATTACACTTTTCAATATTTTCAGAGACCAAATATTTCTAGATTGTAACTAAAGGCAGAAGTTCAAAGTAGCCAGTTCCATGCAAGAGTCTACAGAAACATACAATCCAGCTGGCACCAAAAATACAGCATGAAAGATCAAAGAATCACAGAATCATAGAATCACAGAATGGTTTGGGTTGGAAGGGACCTTAAAGATCATCTTGTTCCAACCCCCCTGCCATGGGCAGGGACACCTATACTACAGTAGGTTGATCAAAGCCCCATCCAGCCTGGCCTCAAAATACTTCCAGGGATGGGGCAGCCACAGCTTCCCTGGGCAACCTGTTCCAGTGCCTCACCACCCTCACAGGAAAGAATTTCTTTCTGGTATCTAATCTAAATCTCCCCTCTTCCAATTTAAAACTGTTACCCCTTGTCCTGTCACTGCACTCCCTGACAAAGAGTCCCTCCCCAGCTCTCCTGTAGCTCCCTTCAGATATTGGAAGGCTGCTCTAAGGTCTCCCCAGAGCCTTCTCTTCTCCAGGCTGAACGTTTCTGGGCCTGTTTCCCCCATGGGAACGTAATTCACAGGGAGCACAGAGGAAGAGGAGATTGTGAACAAGTGGTGAGGCTCAGGTTAGAAGTCGTGGCTGCTAACTCAATGAAGCCCATGGGTTAGTTTTGTACAATTGCTAAGATTTTCAGTACTTCCGTTCTTACCAATGTCTTGAAAGTCATTCATTCCCAGCTGTCACTCCAGTGTAGCTTTCCCAGCTTCTAAGAGTGTCGCGTCCTGGGCACGTCATTTAGCCTTGCCAAACCATTGTGTTTTGCCATGAATAAAATGGAGATTGTTTTGGGTGGTTTTGCAGTGTCTGGACTTCCTGAGATTCAAGTCACTGTAAGCATTTTAAGTAGTGATACCTACTTAATTGGTGAGGTCACTCTGAACTTGGAACCCTTTGCTCTTCAGGAAGGACCAGTGAGAAGGGAGCGTGTGGAGTGTGTGTTGCTGCTGCTGCTCCTGAAACAATGCTGTGGTCAGAGTGACTATACTGGAAATCTTCATTTAATTCAAGAAGTCCCTGACTCACCAATATTTAACATAGATTCAAATTCATGAGTGCCCGTTGCTATATAATTTGGGAATTGCACCCAAATGTAAGTGCATTGCTCAAGCTGAAGCTTAATACTGCAAACAGCTATAAACAGTGAGGGCAGAAAGGGTTTGGGTAGAAACCAGGAAACTGAGAGTCCTCAGCTCTGAACATCAATCTTGTGCTCTTGATACTGCTAACCACTGCTCACCCAGGTCAGCTGGAAAGTGGTGGCCTTCAGGAGACTTTACAACACTGGTTTTGTGGGTGGTTCCTTCCAGGAGACTGAAGCGCTGTGGTGAAGGTGTCTGGGAAGACATCAGCATGCAGTTTTGCTGAGTCCTCCTTAAAAAGCAAGCTTTCCAGTGGTGAGATCAGTGTCTCTCTGGTCTGCAAATCTTTATTGCTCTTTGTCTCAAAGCATATAAAACCCAGAAGAGATAAATATATTTTAAATTTGGCAGGAGGATAAGTAATTCCCTAAAAAGATCTACTAATACTGTACCTTTATACTTCAAAAATTGTACCTCCATGAAATTTGCTTTTTAAGCTAATGCAAGTGGATTGTACATTGGAAGATATATTTACAGAAATCAAGTCAAAAAATTGATATGAAATTCCCTTAATA